GGGCGAGGGAGATGGTAGAGTCAGGTCGCGCGGGGCAGGGGCTTAGGGCCTTAAGAGAGGCTGGTGGTGCATGGGAGGGCGGGGGGGCGCGTAGTCATTTCTTTCGTGACTAGTGGTGATCAGTGCGTGTGCTGGACGCGGGGGAGACCCGCAAACCGAACAGACAAGGAGCCTACATTCTGTGTCTCCTTTGGAGCTAGCCAATCTGAAAAAAATGCAGGTGGGGGGGGAGTTTGAAGAGTCTGGGGGAGCCGAATATACTAGAAAAAGTTGCCTTGTTTAGCCATGGGGTTGTGTCCACAGCAGACCTCAGACGTTGGTAGGAATGGGTTGGGTATTGAGTTGGTTACCTGAGAGGAGGAACAGTTGATTGATTCCATGAAATGTTTATGGAGCCCCTGTTGTTTACACTGAGCTTGCATCAGTAAACTGAACAGGCTCCCCGGCGACGTCGAGTTTACTTTTGTTTGTTTGTTTAGTATCGTTACTGCATTTGTGTGCTCCATGGAAGGAGAAAGAGAGAGAGGGAAAGTGAGAACTACCCTCCCCAAGCTGAAATCCCTTCCCACTCTCCCCTGGGATATAGGGCTTGCACGCCTCCATGTTTTTCAGGGCACCTAGTCTGGGACTCCACACATTTAGTTGTGTGGGACCTAGCTGCCTCAACCTCCTTGCCACCCATTGGCCTGGACTTTACATTTTGATGAGCGAGACAGTAAACAAACATAAAGCATATAATGTCAATGAAACCAGCAGATGGTGTAACAGTTATGTCGCTAGACTCCCACATTGTCAACCGGGGTTCTAATCCTGGACCTGGTGGCTTGAAACTCATGTCAGGTGCATGTGCATGCATGCCCAAAATCCCGAGAGGAGAATGGAGAAGAGGGATTGCTATATGGCACCCCCCCACACCCCAGTGATTTCTCGGTTTTTGTCTTTCTGGCAAGGACATGTTCCCTATAGCAAAAATCTCTCTATTTAAAAAAATATATAGATAATGTCAAGAGACCAGCTAGGTGGCACTTGATAAACACACCATGTAGGTGTGCATGTGTCCCAAAATTCTGAGAGGAGAATGGAGGAGAAGGAATTTCTGCTTGGCCGTGGGTAAGGGATGATTTCTCACTTTTCCTAACTACTTCCATGAACACAGGTACCGTATACCCCACCCCACCCCCCAAAAAAGGAGGGAGCTGACAGGTGGCATGGTGGTTGGAGCATCAGATTCTGACATACCTGACCACGGTTCAAATCCTGGACCTGGTGGCTTGCTTGGCGGCTTGCTTTCTCACTTTCCCTTTGTCTCTCTCTGGTGAAATTAAAATAATTATAATAATAAAGCTAAAATAAATAATTCAGAAGAAAAAGAGAAAAGAACATAATGTCAGGTAGTGCAAGTGCTAGTGAGAAAGATACAAGTATCAGTCATCAGTAAAGGATGATGACATGAGAGGGCTTTTTTTTTTTTTTTTTTGGAGAGGTTTTTGCTATAGGGCGCATGCACTTGCCAGAGAGACAGAAAGCAAGAAATCACCCCCCAGGGGGATGGCCATGCTGCAATGCCTTCTCCTCCATTCTCCTCTTGGGGTCTTGGGCACGCACGCACATGTGCCTGGCGTGGGTTTAAGCCACTGGGTCTGGGAATCCAGCAACACAGCCATTATGCCAACCACTGGTCCCAAGAGTACTATTTTGATAGGCTGGCCAAGGAAGGCCTCTGAAAGGGTTACATTGAGCCTCAGGCCCTGTACAGAAAGAGTTACGGGCTCAGGACCATCAGATGGAGTAATGGTTGTCATTGGATTCATATAGTCAACAGATTGAACATTGAAGCGAAGGCAATGACAGTGATCTTTCTTTTTTTAAGAATTATTTTATTTGACTATTTATTTTTAAATAATTATTTATTTCCTTAATTCTATTTGTTATTACCGTGATCTTTAATTTTATCAGAGAGATACAGAGAGAGAAGGGGAAGATGAGAAATCAAGCCACCAGGTACGGGACTTGAACCGTGGTCGACCATGTGGGAATCCAGCGCCTTTAACCACCACACTACCTGCCCGCCCCTATTTGTTTATTTTAATTTGACCAGAGAGGGACAGAGAGAGAGGGAGAGGTGGGGTAAAGTGAGAAGGCAAGCCGCCAGGTCCGGGACTTGAACTGTGTTCAACCATGTGGAAGTCCAGTGCCCTTAACCACCATACCACCAGCCAGCCCTTCTCATTTTTAATTTTAAAAAAAATAATTATTTAGCTTTATTTATTATTATTGTTATTTTCCAGTTTGATCAGACAGACAGAGAGAGAGAGGGAAAGTGAGAAAGCAAGCTACCAGATTTAGTACTTGAACTGCTTTTGGCTATGTGGGAGTCCAGCGCCTTTAACCACCATGCCACCTGCTGGCCCCACCCCTCTCTCTTTTTTTTTTTGGAGAGGTTTTTGCCATAGGGCATGTGTGCTCCTCAGAAAAACAGACAGAAAGCGAGAAGTCACCCCCCAGGGGGGATGGCCACCCCACAATCCCTTCTTCTCCTTTCTCTTCTCGGGATCTTGGGCACACACACGTGTGCGCGCGCATGCGCGCGTCCCCAGCATGAGTTTAAGCCACCGGGTCCAGGACTCGAACTGTGGTTGACTACGTGGGAGTCCAGCGACAGCCATTACGCTAACTACTGGTCCCACACCCATCTCGTTTTAAAATGTGCCAGAAGGGCATAAATATGAGGGACAAAGTACCTCCAATGGGATATGGTCACACCACAGTCCATTTCTCCATCTTGCCAAGATTTTAGGTCTGCATGCACATACTGGCGTGATTCTCATACCGTGAGGCTAGCCATGTGAGATCCAGTTCCCTTAGCTACCAGGCTACAGGACTAGCCTTGGTGGCTTCTTTGTCATGTCTGACAGGAAAGCCCGGGAAAACCCTTTGTATTCAAGGGAAGAAGGCAGGAATGGTGACCTTTCTCAGAGGAGGAGTATATACTGAGGCATAGTAAGTGGGGGATTGACATGGTATAGTGCATCCTGGTACCTAATACTATACTTTTGCTTCTACTAACCAAAATTTTTTTTAAAAATTGTTTACTTATTTAATTCCATTTGTTATTGTTATTTTTTAATTTGACCAGAGAGAGACAGAGAGAGAAAGGGGAATTGAGAAAGCAAGCCTCCTGGTCTGGGACTCAAATTACAGATGGCTATGTGAGAGTAAAGCACCTTAACAACCACACCACCTGCTAAACCCTCTACTAACCAAATTTTTGACATAAAGTGTTATTGAACCTTTTCATTGATAGGATTGTTATTAGTTGTTAAGGTAAAGTTTGGGTTGGGAATGGTGGTAAGTACAGTGTTTTAGTTTTTTTTTTTCTTTTTAGGTTTTTGCCATAGAACACGTGCACTCAGTAGAGAGAGACAGAGGGACAGTGAGAAATCACCCCCCCAGGGGGGATGGCCAAGCCACAATTGCTTCTTCATTCTCCTCTTGGGATTTTGGGCACACATGCACATGTGTCTAGTGTGATTTTCAAGCCACTAGGTCTGAGACTCTAACCTTGTTGGCCATGTAGGAGTCCAGCACCTTAGCTACCATGCCACCTACCCTGGTAGGTATAGTTTTATTTATTTATTATTTTAATTAATTTTTTTTTTGGGGGGGAGAGGTTTTTGCTATAGGGTGTGTGCGCTCTCCAGAAAGACACAGACAGAAAGCGAGAAATCACCCCCCAGGGGGGATGGCTACACGGCAATTTCTTCTCCTCTATTCTCCTCTCGGGACCTTGGGCATGCACGCACACGCGCCCAGCGTGAGTTTAAGCCACCGGGTCCGGGACTTGAACTGTGGTTGACTACATGGGCATCCAGCGACACAGCCATTATGCCAACTGCTGGTCCCAGTTTTACATATTTGTTATTTTAAAAGTTATTAGATTTTGTTTATTATCATTATTTTTTCATTTGACCAGAGAGAGAGAAAGTGATAAAGGAAGCTGCCAGGTCTGGGACTTGAACCACAGTTAGGCATGTGGGAGCCCAGTCTACCATGCCACTTGCTGGTATGGTAGGTGCACTTGTTCTTTTTTGTTTGTTTTTGGAGAGATTTATTTATTTTTTTGGAGAGGTTTTTGCTATAGGGTGCGTGCGCTCGCCAGACAGAGACAGAGAGATAGAAAGCAAGAAATCACCCTCCAAGGGGGGTGGACACGCCACAATCCCTTCCCTCTCTTTTCCTCTTGGGATCTTGGGCACATGCACAAATGCGCCCCGGTGTGAGTTTTAAGCCACCGGGTCCGGGACGTGAACCACGGTCGACTACGTGGGAGTCCAGCGACATAGCCATTACACTAACTGCTGGTCCCAGTTTAATCACTTCTGCAAAGTCTCTTTTGCCATGTAAGGAATCATTCACAGATCCCAGGGGTTAGGATGTGGACATCTTGGAGGGGGCAGTTCTGCCCAACACACTCAGTTTCTTATTTGTGAATAATAATACCAATAATACTTCACAGAGTTAACACATATACATTGCTTAGAACAGGCATGTGTAACTGTTTAAGTATTCACTGCTGGTATTATCTTAGTATTGGTAGTGGCTGCCTGGATTCCCAGAGTATATTCTGGGCATCTTGGCTTTTTTTTTTTTAAATTTATTTATTTACATTCATTCACTGTACATCATTACAACATACAAAATGAGATTTTCCATCTAGAGTGCACTGTATATTGGCTCAATCAAGCACATCAGCATATATATTATTGTCAACAAATAATTTTCCATTTCTTGTTTCTTATATGTTTTGCTTCATCATGGCATCT